AACAACAGCACAAGTCAGAAAATGATTAGAACACCCCAAATTTATGGGATGACTGAACATCTGAAACAAAACAGCCCAAATTATCTATTAGGGAGGGTTGTTTGTTTTAGAAAAGAATAATTTGTAGTTTGAAAGGTAGAAAGGCATGGGGTATTCATTCAAGTCTTAAAAAGGGAAGACTGTGTATTCACAAAGATACATGGTAAGCATCACTTCTTTTCTGAAATCTGTCAGGCAAGAACGTGAATTTACACTTCCCCTCTCTACTATGTAACACTACAGAATCTTCAGATCAGAAAACTCAGAAAAAAAAAAAAAAAAAAAAAGAAGGAAAGAAAGAAAAGAAACTCCCATTACAAGCAATATGCACCTTCACCCCAGACCTCTTAACATCTCGTTTGCATTGAAGTGTTTGTGGTCATAGGTTGCTTTGAGTGTTTAACCACTTGATGGTTCTCCTCTAGTTGTTCTCTTGTTTGTTGGTTTCCTTTCTGGAATTTAGGCTCCAATCCAAACACATTGCACTCAGTATGGTTTGCTGAATAAGAAAAAGACCATCACTTCTCTTGTTCCAGATGCTGCATCTCCACTGATACAACCTGAGGCTACAGTAGATTTTTGTGAACCACATCCCACAACTGACTCACACTGAACTGTAGTTAACTAGCACCCCTAATCCATTTTCTGAATGCTAAATCTCATGTTCTGTAACCAGTAGTTGGCCCTCTGTCCTCAAGGACAAGGCCTTACATACATTTTAATAAAGTTTCATTCTAAAATATTTGTAGGGTGTCTCCCAACCTTCTAACCAAACTAAGATTTGTTTTGATATTATGATTATCTAATCCAATATGACAACTTTCTAGTTTTCTTGTCTTTTTTTAAAAAAGATTTTATTTGGGACGACTGGGTGGCTCAGTGGTTGAGCGTCTGTCTGCCTTTGGCTCAGAGCATGATCCCAGGGTCCTGGGATCGAGTCCCACATCTGGCTCCCTGCATGGAGCCTGCTGCTCCCTCTGCCTGTGTCTCTGCCTCTCTCTGTGTAGCTCTCATGAATAAATAAATAAAATCTTTAAAAAAAAATATTTTATTTATTTGAGGAGAGAGAGAGAGCAAGCATGAGCAGAGCATAGGATGGGGTGAGGAGAGGCAGAGGGAGAGGGAGAAACAGAATCCCCACTGAATCTGGAGTCCAACAAGGGGCTCAATCCCGGCACCCTGAGATCATGACCTGAGCTAAAGGCAGACACTTAACTGGCTGGGCCACCGAGGTACCCCTAAATTTTTTATCTTCTATTACTATATTCAGCATCCCATCAATGGTTTAATTACATGATCCACAAGTCCAAAGGTCACCTTCTTTTTTTTTTTTTCCAAAGGTCACCTTCTTAGTAAAGTCTTCTTTTGGTACTCTATTTAAAATTGACCCTTTTCTCCTAATATATTTCCTGTAATCTTTCTCTGCTTTTTTCCTCTTCCATAGCATGCATGATTATCTAATATACCATTTATTCTACCAATTCATTTTGTTTATTCTCTTTTTCTTCCTTTATAATAGAAGTTCCACTAGGGTGGCAATTTTTGTCAGTTCTGTTCCCTGGTGGATCCCATATTTGTTGTACAGATGTGATTGAATACATCAGTTTCCTTGTCCAGGTCAGTAAGAATGTTGAACATTGACAAAACCAAGGCTAGAATCCAGTACATTCTGTGAGAGGTTGCTGTTGATCTTAATGTCACTTACAAATCCACTTAATGGTATTAGTATCCAGCCAAACTTGTCTTCACTTTATCCAAAAGGATATTGAGAACTTGTTACATTTTTTGCTAAAAATCATATATTTCATGTTGGTGGTAGCTCTCTCATCTAACAGTCTGGCAGTTCTTTCCAAAAAAATGAAGTGGGATTCAGCTGACATGACTGATCACTTCCTCTTTCTAACTACACACAAGTCATCTTTTCGATAAGCCATTTAAACCCTGCTCAGGAAGAACAGGACATTAATCAATGATCTCTCCAAACTTCATGATTCCCTGCAAGGAAGGTCCTTCCAGGTGTGAGATCCCCCCAGGTGAGGTCCTCCTGGCTTATTCACAATAAGCAAGCACTGCCTGGGAGTGGAAACATTCAAATGATGGAGGTAGCACCACTCAGCTGGAGGCTTAGGCTTAGATCCAGTTTGTTGTGTTGCATTGCAATATCCCATCCTTTTTTTCAGGAGTCTCAGATTTTCAGTCTATCAAATAAAAATGGTAATATAATTTTCAAAAATATAATATGATACTTTATTGATTACTATTTATTTATATCCTTTTGATTTCATGTCCAATTGCTCCATGCAGACAATAAAGATGTGAGGTTTTGGATGTTTAGTTTATTCCTATTGCTCTTTGATCTAAAGGATTTATGTTTCTTTTCTCCATTTCCCTTTTTCCCATTCTTTCTGACACAGCTGTGGTTGAGGCTCTTGTCATCTCATCCCTGAGTTATCACAGTAGCTTTCTAATTGGTTCCAGGACTCCTGTCTCTTACTTCTTCATCTTAGATTCTTTAGTCAGGCTAATTTCCTGGAAGCCAGCTGCTCAAAATATGGTCTATAGAGCATGGCATCAGCATCTCTAGGTGCTTGCTAGACATGCAGATTCTCAGGCCTCAGCTGAAACCTACTGAATGAGAAACTGCATGTCAACAGACCTATAGGTGATTTACACCCACATTAAAGTTTGAGAAGCACTATCCTCTATTCTGTTATGCCATTCTTCTACCAAGGGGCATCCATTAACTTCACATTGAACCATCCCTAAACTCTCTCTGTCAGAAAGGTCCTAATTTTCAGGTAAGATGTTTTTGACATGAAGATGCAAATACCCACCTATACCATCTACTCATTGGTTCTGAGGATGATGAGCAAGTTTATCTAGATAACTTTGGAGCAGTAGGAAAAAGTTGAGATTTTATTTATTTATTCGTTCATGAGAGACAGAGACAGGGAGAGAGGCAGGCTCCATTCGGGGAGCCTGATGTGGGATTTGATTCTGGGTCTCCAGAATCAAGCCCTGGGCCAAAGGCAGGTGCTAAACCGCTGAGCCACCCAGGGATCCCCATATTTTTGTTTTTGATGAGTGAAAATCAAGGGGTACTTGGGAAGCATACATGATGAGTTGGTTGAAAATATTTTTGTTAGTTTGACCCAGTGACAGGAATTTTATATATTTAATTTAATCTTCACAATAATCCCATTTAGGTGGGTGTTATTAGCCCCATTTCAAAGGTGAGGAAATTGAGAATCCTAAAGGGTAGGTTGTGCAAAGCCACAGTATTGGTTAGAATTCAGGCTATACTTACCATCATAATGAAAACATTGGGACCTCAGTGGTTCAGACAAGTGGCTCTGTCTTGAGATGGGCATGTGACCCCAGGTGGGAAGCACAGATGCTCTATGAGGTCACCCTGCTTCCTTCTCCCATGTTGCTTCATCATCTCCCAGCATGTCCACCTCCATGAGGTTGAAGCTGGTTCCTGCCCTTAGGAAGAGGGACAGGGAAAGTGAAGAGCATATAATTATTTAATGAAAAGATAAATTTTCAAAATATCGGAAGTGCTACCTGTCACTTATACTCATGATCTGTTAGTCAGAGCTTGGTCACATGGCCATACCCAGTTGCAAAGGAGGCAAAGAAATGTTGAAGCCTGGGGAGTTATTAACTAAAAAGAAGAAGGGGAAGTGGCTATCAGGGGAAAAATTGCAGGCCTTGCCACAGGCACCAAGCTGATTAGTGGAAGAGCCTAGATTCAAACTCTATGACTACAACCTGTGATCTTTCCACCACATTATACCACCATTCCTCATAGTTGACAGTCAGTAAATGTTTGCTGAACTGAGATAAATTGAGATATTACATGTAAGCCTTCTGGTTATTTGAAATTACTTCTTCCTTCTCTCTTGCCTCCCTGATTACGTAAGAGGCTCTATACTAAACTGTCACCATGTCTGACGATGTTACTTTGTAAAGCAGGAAAATGATTTTCATCTTCCTTCAAGAGAAATGTTATAATAAAATAATCCACCAGCCCTTAGAGGTTGTGTGGAACCAAATGAAATATGGTAATTGTTGTTAATAATAATAATTTGTTAATGACTATCCCTTTTAAAGTAGGTATTTTGTTAGGAGAATGCCACTACTCAAAATATTTTTGATATTTTGTGTTGGCTGGTATATCAGTCAGTTCTTCTTGCTGTGATAATTCATGACAACCATACCAAAATCTCAGAAGCATGCAGTAATAAGCATTTCACTGATGGCCAGCACTGCTCCAGGTGTCTCTCATCCTCCTTCTGAGATGGCAGATGAGCTTGGACATATTTTCCCCTAGCAATTAGCAGAAACATAAGAGAGCAAGTGAAGACATCTGAGGCTACATGAAGCCTAGCCAAAGAACCTATTAGGGAAACAAGTCACATGGCCAAAACCACGGTGCAGGACCAAGGAAATCGCCTACACATAAGTGAGAGGAAATGTGGTCACCTGGCAAACAGCATGAAAACACACTTGGTGAAGCATTGGGGCCAATAAAGCAAATTATCACAGCTTTGTTTTTACTGAGTTATTTTGAATATTTGTAATGATGGTACATCTTTATCTTTTGAAGGTAGCTTTGAATTTCTTTTTAGCAAAATAGCTGAATTTATGAATAGGATTAGAGAATCAGTCTAGGTTTATCTTTGGGCAGAAAGGTAGTTGTTTAAGCATGTGACATAAAGTAATGAAACATTTCTAGAAGAAACAGCTCAAGAACATGGCATTCGGTGGCAGAATAGTTGGGATAAATGTATAGCTTTCTAAAATGGCCAGCTGATTGAAGGAATAACACTCATTTGGTTCTAAAATAATTTTTTAAATAAGCTTTATGGCTTATAGTCACAGGTTACCACTTTATCTCAAAGTTCATCTCTGATATCCCCTTTGACCAATCCTGGGAAAATATGCTCTATGTGCAGATTCTCATCGCCAAGTCCCCGCTGGCTCCCTTCACCTCATTTGCCTACACCATCAAGAAGGAAGGCCTGGTTCTACAAGGTAAGATCCTCAGATTAAGCCTTGTCTTTAAGCTGCTTATACTCAGTGCTGCCTATCGTTGGTGATAATTACTGCAATGCTCCTGATAGAAGCTACCTCAGGACAGAATCAAAGGCTAAGATGAATTAGCCAATGATATTTATTCAGATGAGATAAAAGAGATTGGCAATTGTAGCAAGAACTTAACAGAAAGTAGAGGTAGGGCTGAAGGAGAACTGCAGAATTTCCTCACAGAGTGAGACCAAGAATGAGGGTTAAAGCACCAGTCTGGGAACTACCAATCACTAGGCCTCTTCACAGATCCTATGGAGTGAGGAAGCAGGCAGTAAGCCTCTGACACCAGTATGGAGGACCTGGCACCGCCTCAGAACCCTCTTACTTAACAAACATAAAAACCATTTGGTCTGGCAGCCTGTGGGGCACTTTGTCATGACTCCAGGAGTGCTACTGCCTCAGCCTCTTTCTGGTTACTCCATTTCTGTTCTCTTTACTCAAGTCCCGACATTTCTGGGGACCAGGCCTTTGCTGACTTGCTCTTGTGACATGGGCCTGGGACCTAGAAGGTGTAGAGTTCTGACTCATGGTAGCCTGCTCCAAGACCACAACCTGGAACTCACTGATCTTCAGTGGTGGTTCTCAGATACTGGATATTCTGGTGGTTATTTTGTCTGTCCAGAAAATAAGGAACATGAGAGGTAGATTCAAACACCATTGAACTTAGCCCCGAGGACCAGATGTCCAAAGCTGCTTTGTCGATTGAGAACGGGCCCCACACAGAAGTGCTCGGATACACATCTGTCCCCCATGGCCAGGCAGGAGGCCCCATCCACAGAATGCATGGGTGAACATCTACCGTGAACCCTGGTAGAGCATATTGTCCTTGCTGTTGATGAGAGGAATATCTGCCCCTTAGGACTTTGTAAATTGAGTAGTTTTTCCAGGTTTATGAAACAGGGCGAATCCTTACAATATTCCCATGGAGACACATTGCATTGCAAAGATCTAGCAGCAATTTTGTGGAGCAGGCTGGAGGGTTCATGCTTTGGACCGAGGAACAGGCTCCAGCCTTTCTTTTCCTTCCCCTTCTAAAACGTCCGCTTCTTAATGGACCCGGAAAGCAGCCTGTTTGTTTGGTGTAGCTGAGCTCCACAGCGGGGACTCAGGTCCAGGGAAATTTGGGGTAAGAACTACTGACCTTTGGCTCTTAGCCTTTGACTTATGCTATCCAAGTTCCTTGGTAAATATTTTTTTTACAATTGCAAATATTGTTTTCTGACAAAGAAGCAGAGATTTTAAGACCAGATTAAGCAAAGCAAACAGCAGGCCCCTTTGTTACATACTCTCTAAGGGTGTATAACTAATAAGCAATCAGAAAGCTGAACTTTTATTTACCCAGTACACAGTGTGGCTTTTGGCTCTTCGTTTTTAGAGGCTTTCTTAAAAGATTAGAAATCGACTAACTAGCAAATTTAGATGAAGATTTTAAGAAATTCTTTGGAAGATTACAAGGCAATTTCAGAAAGGAAAAGAGGCAGTTCTGCCCAGATGGCTTATACAGTGTCTCTATCTTGATCACTGGGCCTTTTGGTAAATAGCATTTTTTTTTTTTTTTTTTTTGGTAAATAGCATTTCTAAGCCTGACTGAATCTGGATAACTTTTAGGATAACATTTGTGAGAACAAGATTCACAGAGTTACCTCTCTGACGCTCATTGCTAAGATCTTGATTTTGACAGGAAACAGGAAGTTGGGTAGAGAAAGTGAAGGCTAGAAATACAATGGATCAGTAGGGATTAAAAGTCTACAAAGGAAGACTATTAGAAAAAGCCAGAAAACAAAGGAGAAGGTGGATCACTAAAGGAGGCTGACCCGTAGCTGTGTGTCCAGGAAAGAGAAAAATTCAGGAATTTTTCCGATGATGCAGGAATCCCAACCAGTAAATAAAAATGTCTAGGAGACCTCAGTGCCTCACCTGGTTGCTTTTGAAGCTTTTTCCCCCTACCCCACTCCCCTAGCTATACCACCTCCCTCTGTGAGGTTTTCTGAAGCAGCAGAACCCTTCTGCCCATAGCAAGAATGCCACTGAATACAAGCCTCTGGCACTCCATCCCCAATAGCTGTGTGCTCCCCAAGACTTTGGGAAAACAAAAAGGAGCTCTTATCCCGAGAAAAATGGAGAACCTCCTTCAGTGGAGATACCCGGTGGATTTCTGTTCTAGCTCTGGTGTGATATTGAGAAAATCTCTGTCACCTGTGTTTGGTCAGCTTGAAAATGACAGTGTTGAACTTGATTCAGCACTTTACAAACTGTGTTGCAACCCACTGTGGGTCATGAAATGAAATTAATGAGTCACAACCAGAATTTTAAAAAATGAAGTAAAGGAGAATAGAAAATATCAGATTACATCACACTTATTACACTATTTCATGAAATATTTCTTGTGTGACTGTATGTGCATTGTGAATTTGTGTATGTGCAGTGGAAACTGTTTTTCTTGCTTGGACTGTAGTCATTGGCCTCAGTGACCTCTAAAGGCCTTAACCCTTCAGTTTATCTGGTTCTCCTAGGAGATGGTGTACTTCTCATCACTTAGCTCAGTAGAGTTGTACTTTGAGATCTCCACGCACCAGAACATAAAAGCTTATTTTCTTCCCCCACTCTTACCAGATGACTGAGCTGAAAACAAAACAAGACAAAACAAAACAGAAACACCTGCACAATTCCCCAGGTTCAAGGCAAAGAAGTCTTTGATTCCTGGGTAGTAACCTTGGAAAGATACCAGGAATCAAGGCCAAGACGCTTTCCTTGGGTGAGAGGTTGCTCAGGTGTGTTAGTCCCAAGTTGGCATGGAGGTTGGTTGGTACCTAGTGCTGGAGATTTACAGTCCATGTCTGAGGCACATAGAGGCAGAGAGGGGAAGGGTTGGGAAGATGAAGGCAGCTCCTGTGGTACCAACTAAAAAAGAAACTGCTAGCCCAGCCACTTGGGGCTGGACGTTTAGTATATTTGTAATGGAGACAGCCTGGAGTAGTGGGAAGAAACAATTCATACAGGCTACCCTTTTATGAGGGGGTTAGTGAATATGGGAATGATCCCTCGGTGCCTTTTATCCCTTTAGCAAGTCCAAGATTCCTACCAGCCTGCTAACCAAGAGGTTTTATAATACCTGAAGTGCTCCTGTGTGCATAAGCAGAGGGTGGGAATAAAAGGTGAGGCCAAAATTCCATTTAGTGGCTCCACAGGCCATCCCCTTCACCAGTTCTCAAGGATTAGGATGCTAAGAAGAGCCAGCAACTGGGGGCCTTATACCCTTCCTGCCCCTTTGTTCCTGGGATGGGAGAAACAATAAATCGGCAGGCCAGGGAGACTGAGGGGCCTGGTTGGAGATTTCTCAGGCTGGCTTTTGAAATACTTGAAGGAGCCGATCTGGGCTATTGTTGTAGTAAAATAGAAAGCGGAACTGTTCTCCTTTTAGAAAAAGAAGAAAAGAAAAAAGAAAAAGAAAGAAAGGAAAGGTAAGGAAAGGAAAAGGAAAAGAAACCCCTTCTCCTTGCACCTTCTGGAAGCTGCCTGGCTCAAGGCAATTACCATGGTAATACTGTGCTGTTTGCATCTTCTTTGTCTGTCCTGTACTTGTTGAGATCCTGTCCTCTGGGTTGGGTTCAAGACCCTGGAAAAACTTGGCCCCAAAGGATAGGGAGCTCACAGCCACCAGCTTCCTGATGGTTCAGACTCTGAGAGGGGCCAGCTCCCGGCAGAGGGAGAGAGAGCCCTTTTGTGCAACTGAAGTGGGAAAAGTAGAGGGTGTGGGGGTGGCTCCCATTAATCCTTTTCTCCTTTTGTCCCCAGAGGTCACCATGAAAGTCCCAGCACCCACTGGGTAGAAAAGCCTAGAGTTTTGGCTGGCTCAGAGTAAGGCTAAGGGGTGTCAGAACCCAAGGGAGAAGGAAAAGCAGGAGCTGGCTTTGGGAATCGGCCTGAATGGAGTGGGCCCCCAAAACCGCACGGCCGGCCGCAGAAGGGAAGGGAGGATTTACAGCGAACTCCAGCTCAACCCATATTCTGCTCGGGTCGTGTTCCTTGTTTCCCCAACAAGCCCAAAATGTTGTGCCCCACAGAACACAGCTGGGACCCCTGGACCTCTGTGTCAGGCCAGGAATAAAGATTAAGATTCTGTAATTGAAAACAGCCAGGCTGTGTTGCTGATGCTGCGGGAGGCCTAGGGAGAACCCACGGCCAGGCTCTCCCAGGGCCATCCTGGCCTTATCCTGGCCTCATGGCAGCAGAGGCCTGTCAACTTGGTCAAGACTGGCCATGGATAATGAAGAGACCAAGTCAGCAGGGGCTCTTCCTTATTCACTCTTCCTTTGGGATCATTTGAAAAACAAAAGACAGGTTGTTAAGGACGAGGATAATGGTTTAGTCTCTAGGTAGGATAGAATCATGATTCTTGGGTTGTTTTTAAAAAAATTAAAATTAGGTATAACAGGTTGAATTTGGTTTCTGGTGCTGTCCTCTGCCAGTTTAAATCTGAATGAGCAGCATAAACCTTGGGATGGGGCTGAGGGAACTCAGGGGAGCCCAGTCACCCTGAGATGGGTCCAGAGACAACTCTGCAAATGAAACTAGTTTCCTGTTTTTCTAATCATCTAATATAAGGACTCAGAAGAAACCAAAACACAAAGAAAGAATGATTTTTCTTAAGACCAGGAAAGCTATGCCCCTCATCTCTCTTGTAAAATCAAGAATGGCTGTCAGACGACCGTCTTCTGAAGCTTATTGAGAGAGGCATTAATCTCCTCTATTTGTTCCCTTGTCACAAAGTTGGGTTAGATTCTTCTACCCCATTTTCTTAGTAACTGAGCCAACTGGATGATTTATTGAAAAATTCTTTTCCCCTAAATACCACCATCTAAGTTCATCAGATTTCAGTTTGAATTAGTAACCCATCTAAATGTTTTCTGCCTGGTAGACTCAAAGTGACCCAGAAGACTCTCAAT